CTTGCTGATTATGGCTGCAAGACCCTAGTGGCAGGAGTTTGTGCCTCAGTGCCGTGGATGGAAGGTCAAGTAATCTTAGGGAACGACTCTTGGGGGGGGGGGGGGCGGGGGTGCTTGGAGCCCTATAAAAGAAGAGGTCATTTAGTAGATACGAAGGGAGACGCGACAGGGATAGAGAGGATAGCTATCCCTGTGTGTGCCGATATTGTGGGATGGGGCATTGGGGGCGAGGCGAGTAAGTCTGGGTGGTGTGAGGAAAATAGGCCAGATGACATGAGCTTCGATCACCTGTTGGAAGAGGAAGCCGGAGGACAAAAGACATCGGAGAGGAGCCGTGCACGCTTCTCTCTTGTGCACACTCTTTCAAATGTTACGTTATGTTGGCTGTAATGTTATATAAGGTGTTGCAGGTGACTGCTCCTTAATGTTTATCCTTCACCAAAGTTCTCGCATTACAAACTCTGGCAGCCAAAAAATTATTACCACGCTGATGACTCGCTTGTCTTCTTTTATTATTATATGTATCATTCTTGGATAATTTATGTCAAATTCAAGAGCTGAAACCGTTTGCGTGACGCCAAAACTTGAGAAATCCGTCTGAGCTTCTTCATTTATCATGCGCTAATGACAATGTGACTGACAACTCTTGAGAACTGACATTAATTACTACGGAAAAGCACTATCTGTTTTACTATCAAATGAGTTAATTTATGTAATGTATTATTATATGGGCAAAAGTTGCCGTTCGGCTGTGTTCTGACGTCACTTCTGATTTGCCGAGAGGCAGAAACCCACACAATCATGAGGTCATTATAGCGACTTGACAGAGCATCACTCATCAATCTGATTAGCTGAGGTTCTGATTAGCTGAGGTCGGCACTGACTTTGCTTTGAGCTCTTGTTTTGAGATTGTCGCTCGGATGTCCTGACCCAGTACCCGAGAATCTCCCTAAATGTGGTTTGTGAGACGTGGTGAGCGTATCAGAAGGCTTACATGGTGGTGGTTAAGGCTTACATGGTGGTGGTCAAGGCTTACATGGTGGTGGTCAAGGCTTACATGGTGGTGGTCAAGGCTTACATGGTGGTGGTCAAGGCTTACATGGTGGTGGTCAAGGCTTACATGGTGGTGGTCAAGGCTTACATGGTGGTGGTCAAGGCTTACATGGTGGTGGTCAAGGCTTACATGGTGGTGGTCAAGGCTTACATGGTGGTGGTCAAGGCTTACACGGGGAAATTTTATACTGTCTCTGGCAGGCTGATGGGGTAGTGTGGTGTGCCGGTGGGGGGGGGGGGGATGCGATGATCGTTAATGCTTCAAACTTCAAATAAAGGCGCCAATGTCAACCTAAAATTGCTGTGACAAAGCACGTCGGCGGTGATGATCAACCGTCGGCCAGGTGGAATATAATGACCAATAAATTCTTCGCGTCCGGTAATCAGTGAATTCCTGAGTGTGAGTGAATGTTGGACAGCTGATGGAGGGTAAACAAGTGTGCTTGATGAAGGTTTCTTAGTGTGTGTGGTCTGTGTGACCGGCGCCCGGGCTGTGGCTATACCTGGAGACGCCAGGGGACCCGGCCACACCCCTTGGTCACCCAAGACGGTGACGCTGCCCAGTACTGTCCCTGTGGTGGTGTGTCCACTCACAGGATGAGTGGCGCTGCCCAGCACTGTCCCTGTGGTGGTGTGTCCACTCACAGGATGAGTGGCGCTGCCCAGTACTGTCCCTGTGGTGGTGTGTCCACTCACAGGATGAGTGGCGCTGCCCAGTACTGTCCCTGTGGTGGTGTGTCCACTCACAGGATGAGTGGCGGTGTGTTCACTCACGGGATGAGTGACGGGGCCCAATGCTGTCCCTATGGCGGTGTGGTCACTCCCAGGATGAGTGACGCTGCCCAGTACTGTCCCTGTGGCGGTGTGGTCACTCCCAGGATGAGTGACGGGGCCCAATACTGTCCCTCACCCTATAAATGCTTCCCATCCTCCCGCCCTACGATAGACCCTCCCATGTGTTCCTCGCCCCGTGGATAATGTCAGTACTCACCCTTAAGGTTGAGAGGCTCGGCTACCTGAAGGACGACGTTGCCTGTGATCGTCTGCTTGGAGAAGTACACGCCGCTGGGAACGTCGAATTGAATCTCGAACCTCTGTGGGCGGACCATAGGAGTGTCTGTTGGAAGAGTGGGCGGTTAGCGGCGGGGTGGGCGGCAGAGGGGTAGTTAGTAGCCACCCACTAACTGTGGGTGGATGATTATTGGGCAGAGTGGAGTGAGCGAGGGCTGGGAGGGGTGTGTGGAGGGGGTATGGTAAAGTATGTGAAGGGACTGTAAGGGTTGGCAAGTGATGGTGAGGTGTGGTGAGAGGTATAGTCGAGGTGTGGTGAGAGGTATAGTTGAGGTGTGGTGAGAGGTATAGTCGAGGTGTGGTGAGAGGTATAGTCGAGGTGTGGTGAGAGGTATAGTCGAGGTGTGGTGAGAGGTATAGTCGAGGTGTGGTGAGAGGTATAGTCGAGGTGTGGTGAGAGGTATAGTCGAGGTGTGGTGAGAGGTATAGTCGAGGTGTGGTGAGAGGTATAGTTGAGGTGTGGTGAGGTGAGCGTGCCTCATACCTAACCATTAACCAGGAGTTCCATATACGAGAGACGTGTTCTCCCACCTGCCAGCACTCTGGAGTAGGACACAGTAAGACTCATAGTGATACATTATAGTCTGGGTACACCACCATACAGGCTGAGGCCTCTTATCATGCACCTTCAAACGCAATTTAATATTCATAAGAAATACTCGCAAAACTTGTTATAATGAACTTTAGCATTATAATACAACTCAACGGAACACTTGCAATACTTTAATAGTCAAACATTACAGTCGAAACATTATGCTAAAGTTTTCTTCGATTTAGACAATATTTATCTTTCCCTTTCCTTTCTCCTATAATAAAGTGTATTTAAGTGCATATGTTGTTGTGGTGCTTTAACTATAGGTCAGTGTAGTACACATGGATCACATTACTATGGTGGTCTAAACTCAGCAGCCTTATGACGTGTTGGCTGAGTGAAACCCGGCCTGGTGCAGCCACGGGGTCCTCGTCCCTGTGGCCGTCCCTCGACCCGCTGTATCTTAGCCAGTCTTGAGACCTCTGCCTCAAGTTTAAGTACGATAAAAGCAAGTTATAAGACGTATCTAGAGCCAGAGGCTTAGGCAGTAAGGTTGAGGTCTCGCAGAGGACTCATGAAGCCTGGTCTGCATGATTTATGATCATGTATCCGAAAGAATTCATGTACAAAATGTCTAAATTTGTTGTTACCTATTGTTAAAAATATTACACGCTGAAAGTTATCATATATAGGTATGTAAAATGTGGCATTTATGTGGCCTATGATAAGGATGTGTGATATGTAAATATGTTTTTTTGTGTGAAATATAACATGGATTTGTTACATATGAATAATTAACACAAGAATGTTGAGATGGAGTGAAGAGCAGTGTACTCACTTGCCAACTGGTAGACGCTGATATTCGTCCAGCTAGTGGACACATTGCTACTCTCAGTGACGGCATAGAAATTTTTGTAGGAGGCCTTTTTCATGAGCCTAACGTGACGTGAGACAAGAGGCAGCGTGTCCACCAGGCGACATGGTCCTTACGCAGGTGTGTGGGGCAGGGCGCCGGGCTCACACTGGTGTGTGGGGCAGGGCGCCGGGCTCACACTGGTGTGTGGGGCAGGGCGCCGGGCTCACACTGCTGGCACACACTGGTGTGTGGGGCAGGGCGCCGGGCTCACACTGCTGGCACACACTGGTGTGTGGGGCAGGGCGCCGGGCTCACACTGGTGTGTGGGGCAGGGCGCCGGGCTCACACTGCTGGCACACACTGGTGTGTGGGGCAGGGCGCCGGGCTCACACTGCTGGCACACACTGGTGTGTGGGGCAGGGCGCCGGGCTCACACTGCTGGCACACACTGGTGTGTGGGGCAGGGCGCCGGGCTCACACTGCTGGCACACACTGGTGTGTGGGGCAGGGTGCCGGGCTCACACTCCTGGCACACACTCACGCAGGTGTGTGGGGCAGGGCGCCGGGCTCACACTCACGTCAACATGCCGTAGAGCACTTGCTATGGACTTGACATAGAATCACGAAGTCTTTGGCATAGATGTATCACTCAACCCAACACGGAGGCACTCAAAATAGGATCACGCTTCAACATATCGTGGAGGTAGTTGGCAGGGACTTATCATTCAGTATAACTAGGAGGCACTTGCCATTGGCAGACGACTCAACACATCATTGTGGCACTTGCCATTGGCAGACGACTCAACACATCATTGTGGCACTTGGCATAGGCACATAACTCATCACGGTGGCATTAATTGGCATAAGCACATATTTCAACATATTATGGCCAGAAATACATCTTTGCAGGTGTTTTTCTCAATAGTTTTCTCCATAAACGATTAAATTATAATTACACTATAAGTGCATTACGGTGTAAGCCTCCAGCAGCAGCAGCAGCAGCAGTACGGAGCCTCATCCAGCCTGCAGGGAGCGGCCCACCGAGTGAACACACTCAACTAACGCAATGCTTAAGCATAAAGTGAATATCAAAATGAACATATAAACTAAGTTAAACAAAGCTGAAGCACCGCAAAATACACGTACAAGCCCAGGCAACAAAGCTGCGACACAAGCACTGACTACACAACACTCTACGGACACTACAAGCCACAGTTCACTACTGGCCCTCCCTCCGACACACACTCTGGGCTCCACAATGCTCGCCCCTCACTACCCAATAGATTTTTCTGTGTGAATGTCATGAATAAAGCATGAGCCGGGTGTAGGCGAGGTGTAGCAAGCTCACACCACCTTAACGGAGTGTGTGTCATTGTCAGACACGTCTCCTCCGCGCTACTATGGCTCAGTGTAAGTACTAAATATTGACGCTGCTCATTACCTTCAAGCACACACAAACATATATATAGCTAGACATATATAGATTGGTCACGACACAACATAAATACTCTTCAATCTATCAACAGGTGACTTACACGTTGGTGGCTTACACTTTCCTGGCTTACACTTTGGTGACTTACACTTTCCTGGCTTACACTTTGGTGACTTACACTTTGGTGACTTACACTTTGGTGACTTACACTTTCCTGGCTTACACTTTGGTGACTTACACTTTCCTGGCTTACACTTTGGTGACTTACACGTTGGTGGCTTACACGTTGGTGGCTTACACGTTGGTGGCTTACACTTTGGTGACTTACACTTTGGTGACTTACACTTTGGTGACTTACACTTTGGTGACTTACACTTTCCTGGCTTACACTTTGGTGACTTACACTTTCCTGGCTTACACTTTGGTGACTTACACGTTGGTGACTTACACGTTGGTGGCTTACACGTTGGTGGCTTACACTTTGGTGACTTACACTTTGGTGACTTACACTTTGGTGGCTTACACGTTGGTGGCTTACACTTTCCTGGCTTACACTTTGGTGACTTACACTTTCCTGGCTTACACTTTGGTGACTTACACTTTGGTGACTTACACTGTCCTGGCTTACTCTTTGGTGACTTACACTTTGGTGACTTACACTTTCCTGGCTTACACTTTGGTGACTTACACTTTGGTGACTTACAATTTGGGGACTTACACTTTGGTGATTTACACTTTCCTGGCTTACACTTTGGTGACTTAAACTTTGGTGACTTACACTTTCCTGGCTTACACTTTGGTGACTTAAACTTTGGTGACTTACACTTTCCTGGCTTACACTTTGGTGACTTAAACTTTGGTGACTTACACTTTGGTGACTTACAATTTGGGGACTTACACTTTGGTGATTTACACTTTCCTGGCTTACACTTTGGTGACTTAAACTTTGGTGACTTACACTTTCCTGGCTTACACTTTGGTGGCTTACACTTTGGGGGCCCCCTCCCTATCCGGCCCGTTGGCGCCGTGAGGGGGCTTGGTGGACGGCTGCCGGAGTGTGATGCTCCGTGAGACAGTCCTCTGTCCTTTTGTGGCCTTGCGCTCCTGCTGCTGTCTTCTCTAATTGTGCCGGATCGCTTTTCCTCTTCCTTATGTTTTGTTTTTCTCCCCCCTCTTCTATCTGCTTGTCGTTTCCTGCCGACCTTTTGCTTGTTTTCGTTATTCATTTGGACTTCTTCTATTTTGACGGCCGGGGGCTTGAGGAGGCATTCTCTTGCACCCATAGAATTGTAGTACCCAACGTCTCGAGCGAGGGGAACCTTTTATTGTCATTCCCCCTTTCGTCGCTGAACCCGATCTCGACGGACTGACGGTTCTTAAGGTGGCGTTTGTTGGGGCGTATACTCACGACGCACCCCTAGGAGGCCCCGCCATGATCGGCGATAGCTTCCTATTGGGTGTCCTGCCTCTAATTGTGGCTCCATGGTGGGTATGGGGGCACATTTGTGGATGAATTTGTCTCTCTTCGTCTGTATTTCGATGAATGTTTCTGTTGTACCCTCTCAGGCTCGTGGGGTGGGCGACCAAGCCCCTGAGTCAGCCTGTTTTGGAAGACCAGGCTCTGTAGCCCCTGCTGCGTTGGGCCCCGACCTTGCTCCTCCTTTGACCATCCTGACTTCTTCCCCCAGTTCCCCTCCCTCCTCTGTGGTTGGGTCGAGCCTCAAGCCCCCAGTGGTGACCACTTCGTCCCCTGGCGTGGCTCAGTCTTTCGTTGTGACTACTGCGCCTTTTAACCCCTCTCTCTCTCTGGGGGTTCTCAACGCCGTCCGCGCCACAGCCGCACTCACTCGATTCCTTCCCGTACTGACGCGTATCAGGCCTTGTTTGGTCCCGCTTCATGGGCCAAATACTTTGATCTCCTCCCTCTTGATTCTGTGCCTCCTGATGATTTCTCCCTCCATCGGCATCTTGTAGATTCCGTGGATGCCTCTGTCACCTTCAACCCCACTCGTCTCGGTACACATGTCGTTGCTGCTCCTTCTCAGGATGCAGCTTCCCGCTTGGCTGCCTTATCCTGCCTTGGCGAGATCCCTGTTCGGGTCTCAAAGAACGCTCAGTTGAATGCCAGTGTTGGCACTATTCTCCTCCCACCCCATGTTGTGACCGGTGTTCGGAATCTGCAGGACTGCCACGATGATATTCGACATATCCTTGCTGCCCAGGGCCATTCTGTCCTCCAGGTAGACTCGTTTACTCGTCCCCCTCGTGGTAGTCGCCGTCAACCCCTCCGGGTTGTGAAGATTACCTTTGATGGTAGGACCCTTCCATCCTCTGTCATTCTTGCTGGTGCCAGGTGCTCTGTCCAGGAGTACATTCCTTCTCCTAGGCTTTGTAACAAGTGCTGGAGGTTTGGGCATGGTGCCCTCCGCTGCTCCGGGACTGTCTCTCTCCTTTGTGTGGTGGCGAAGGTCACTCTAAGTCGGAGTGCACTTCTCCCCAGGCTCGTTGCCTCAACTGCGGTGAGGCCCATCCTACCTTCTCCCGTGCGTGTGTCCATTACAAGCTTGAGGCAGCCGTCCTCAACTTGAAGCACCGGGAGCGTTTATCTTTTCCTGAGGCGAGGCGCCAGGTTCGCCGGCTCCCACCTTATGCTAACATCTCTTATGCTCGCGTGTTGCGCTCTTCCTCTCCTCGTCCTTCCCACCTTCTTCAGACCCACAACCGTTTCCGGGCCTTGGACCCTGATACGCCCACTTCCCTCTCCTCTGTTCCCTTGAGTTCTGTCCCGAAGGGTCCCGCTCCTGGTCCTCTGTCTGGGGTTCCCCTTCTTTCTGCCCGGTCTATCATGTCTCCTGTGTCTTCTTCCTCGTCTCCCTCCGATCCTCCTTCCCATCCTCTTCCTCCATCTATCGGCTCTCCCCACCGCCTGTCGGTGCGGGCTGATGTCCATCGCTCTCCTAACGGCCGTCGTGTGTGCTCTCGTTCAGCTTCTCCTGTTGAGACGCTTGAATGCGTTGCCCGGTACGTAGTTACTGGGACACCTGTCTCTTTAAGTCAGAAGCGTAAGCCTGGTTCCTCTCTTTCCTCCTCCCCGGCGGGTAAGAAGGCTTCGCTTTCTTCCTCGGCCCCTACTTCTGAATCTATCGCCCCTTCCCCTCCCATTTTGGTGGTTGCGCCCCCTGTTCCTGCTATTGAGGTTTTTTTGGCCCCCCCGCTTCCCTCTCGGTTGCTGCCCTTGCTGAGGTGTGCTCCCCTCTTTCTACTTCCCTTCTTCCTGCTGCTGTCTTTGACTACTCCTCTCGGTTGCCTCCTCCTCTTTCTCCTCCGGACCCCGCCTGTCCATCTCTGGTCTGTTCTCCCGCTTCCTTCCCTCCGTCTTTGCTCAGTTTACCCATGCCCTCTAACCCTGACTTTGCTGACCCTGATCCCGACCCTAATCTTCTTTATCGTGCTATGTTGCTCTTTTGCCTTTGTTTCTTCCTTGTTCTCTGTTGTTGTCCTTTCTCTTCTCGTCGATGTCTATTCTGCAATGGAACGTTCGGGGTTATTACGCCAATTTCCTTGAACTCCAACTTCTGATTTCGCAATTTTCACCCCTTTGTTTCTGTCTCCAGGAGCCGATGCTTGGTGCTCGTCCTGGTCGCTTTCGTGGCTATTCCTTTCTCTCCCCCCCCCAGCTGTTGCTGGGAATCCTAACTCTTCTGCTCTCTTGATTCGCTCAAATGTTCCCTTTGTCCCCTTACTTTTTCCTTCGCCTCTCCATTGTTCTGCTGCTCGTATCTTTGTGGGGAAATGGTACACTGTTTGGTTCCATTTATCTCCCCCCGAGTGTCCCGCTTTTTCTTCCTGATCTGATACACTTACTGGACTCCTTGCCGGAGCCTGTGCTCCTGCTGGGTGATTTCAATTGTTGTCATTCCCTTCGGGGTGATGTTCTGACGAACACCAGGGGTCGCCTTCTTGAGCCGTTTATCCTCTCTTCTTTCCTATCTCTTCTGAATTCTGGTAAGCCCACGCATTTGGATTCTCGGACTCGCACCCTTTCCTGTCTTGATCTTTCTCTTTGCTCATCTTCTCTTTACTTAGATTTCACGTGGCAGGTTCTTGATGACCTCCATGGCAGTGACCATTTCCCCATCCTTGTTACCTTTTTCTCTTTTCGCCCTCTCCTCTCCTTCACTAGGTGGCAGTTTGCGAAAGCGGACTGGAACCTCTTTACCCTTAGTGCTACTCTCTCTGACCTCTCCCTTCTGCCTCTCCCTCGCTTTCTCCTCCTTTTTCATGACACTGTCTTCGACGCTGCCCTCTGCTCTATTCCTCGTTCTTCCTCTCGGGGTCCACGGAAGTGCGTTCCCTGGTGGAATGCAGATTGTGCTCGAGCTGTCTGCTGTAAGCATGCAGCCTGGAAGAGACACCGCCGTCGGCAGACGGCCGATTCTTTTCTTTTCTTTCGAAAGGCGAGTGCGGTGGCCCGTAGGGCCATCTGTACGGCTAAACGTGAATGTTGGGCATCTTATGTCTCTACCGTTACGTCCGAAGCTCCTCTGCCACAGATCTGGAAGAGTATCCGCAAGATAGCGGGTAAGTTCGTTCCCGATGTTACACCGGTCCTTCACCTCCATGGTACTCTTGTGGCGGACCCGTTGCAGGTCGCTACCGAACTGGGTTCCAACTTTTCTTCTGTTAGCTCTGGTCTTCATCTTCTCCAATCTTTCCTTCTTCGTAAACCTGTCCTTGAGTCTTGTGGGAACCGACCTGTGAGATTTATATTTATTTAATTTATATGAATTTATATTTACGTTAATTTATATAATTCGATAGCAATTTGTATAATGATAAGTGGACTGTATTTCTGCAATAATCTCATAATCTCACAAATCGATCCTCTACACATTAGGGGGGGTTTATTAAATTAATATATATGCAGCCAATCAAACTACAGTAATAGACTACATACATTGAAGAGGTTCCTTATCTTATAGTACAGCAGGTTAGTCCACCAGGTATAACTAGGGTGTAGACACCAAATTATCCTCTTTGAGGTAGCTTCCATCACCCAGTAACTGGTGCACAAAGTCCTTGCTTCCTCGTCTTGACCTGTCAAAAGGGCGCTAGCTGTGAAGCCAGGTTCTATATATGACAAGCTATATCAGAGAAAACACTATACATGGAACAATAAAGACCTGGCTTAATTACCTTTAGTTTGAGGCGATTTTGTGATCTAACCGGGTCACCCTATATCCTGACATTAATGGCCATAAATGAATGATAAACGGGTTTCGGATAGACACTTAACTTGAATTTGTAGACAGCGTGTGATAATGGTACACCTTTGGTTTCCATAACACTTCGTCCAAGTAAAATTAACAGGAGCCGAATTTGCTCCCGTGTGAGCCTCTGGTCTAGTATAAACAACAATGGCTGCCCTCCTTCCTCCACTGACGCCTGGCTTACATTGTCCAGATTTCAGAAAGTGATAGAAGGGTCACATTTACTCTACTTTAATATTGATAATTAAGTTAATTTATATAAGATGTTTTTATGATGGTAAAGTCCAAAGACTAATGTATTTAAGAATAATTCCCACCATAATAGGTGGAGAATATAATAGTATGTGGTGATGATATCCCGTTTTCTATAGACGGTAATTCCACTACAAGTTACGTTTTCTATGGTTAACTTGTTTATACAACACAGCTCTTATCTGTCTGTATGATATTATTATTAAATGGTGTCGGATTTTCCGACATAATTCCCCAGGGGGCTGCTCACGGGTCGAAGTCCTCTTTAGAACAGACGAACACCGATACTCCTCCTTCGAATTATTAGATTAATTTGATGTTAGTAGTTAGTAATCACACATTTGTGTGTCTGTTCG